AGCTTCTAAGTGAGCATCAGAAATGCTCCTATGTCCCTTAGAGATCAGTTGACCTAAATAGACCACTTTGTCCTGGACATATTGCAACTTTTTCTGAGAAACTTTGTGACCTTTTTCTGCTAAGATCTGCAACAACTTAATTGAGTCTCTGTGACAAGTCTGTTTATCTTTGGAACAGAGTATGACATCATCAACATATTGGACCACTACACTGTCCAGTACTTGACCTATACCCTGTAAATCATCCTTCAAAATCTTATTAAAAAATGTGTGGACTATGTTTAAACCCCATAGGCAATCTCTGATATTGAAAAAACTGTCCCTTATAACTGAAACCAAACAAACTCTGAGATTCAAGACTGAGAGGGATGCTAAAGAAAGCTCTACATAAGTCCAGAACTGTGAAGTATTCAGCATCCGGTGGGATCTGAGCAAGCAAAGTATGAGGATCTGGAACATCTGCTGGAAAATCAGTTACTACCTCATTAACTGCACGCAAATCATGGACCAGACAAAAGGAATTGTCTGTTTTTTTTCAAAGGGAGCAAAGGAGTATTGCTGCTTGGATTTTGAGTCGTTTTCAACACATTGGCTTTCAACAGTCCTTCAATTTGTGATGCAATTCCATTCACTGCTTCCTCTTTTAATGGATACTGGTTCTTCCAGGGGGGTTTTGCTCCAGGTCTCAATGTTACGGTTACAGGTTGTGCTGACTTCACCAATCCAATGTCTGTGCTGTTCTTTGCCCATAGTTCATCTGGAACCTGTTGTAACATTTCTCCCTTCAAGTCCTCTGATTCCTCTTGAAGGTTACACATGGTCTCTTCTACCATCTGCACCATTTGAGGTTTTCCTGATCCATAAGATGAAATCATAATCTTCAAGTATTGGTGATCTTCACATTGCCAAATCTTGAAGTTTTCTTTCAGTGGTTTAAAAACCTTGTCTTGAGCTTCAACCATCATGTTCCCTACATGTTTCTGTTCATAGTCTTTTGCAATCAGCAGTGTCACATGTGGGATACTATTTTCAATTTCATGTTGTTTCTGCAGAAAGTCATTTGAATCAATCTTCATGGCCACTCCTTGTGGTCCTAGTATGATGCAACTAGAGGTGAGCTGAACCTGTTCCGGTTGTTGGTTCAGCCACTCATCCATCTCTGATGAAGGTCCAGTCTTGAAATACTTAAGAGTACAGTGAGGCGGATACTGTGGAATCTTCGCCTCAGGCATGTTAGCCACAATGAATTTCTCCCAAACCCTCGCTGGGTCCAGAAGGTCTTGTGTGAGATCTCCAATCCAACAAACAGTCGGGTTAGCATTGTCAGCTAGCATTGATAACTGAAGATCACTTTTGGTAGGGAATTGCACCTGACAGCCGTCAGGTGTACATTGAATTGTACAGTTCAGTTTACATAAAGCATCTCTTCCCAAAAGTCCCGTTGGTGTATTATCTGACACCAAAATCGGCATTCTCATGTTGTTATATCCACAGGAAATGTCTACTGGCTTTGTGAAAGGAATCAGCTGTCTCTTACCTTCAAACCCGATCGTCCTTGCAAACTTTCCAGACATAGGAAGATGTATAGCATCTTTAGAATGAACACAAGTGAAAGCAGCTCCACTGTCAACCAACATCTGTAATGGTTCACCATTAACTTTTACCACTACTGTCGGTTCTTCATCATTTCCAGATACTACCAGCTGACATCTCCCCATAGGGTCCGTAAGGCTTCCCTAAAAACTTTGCTCAGGGCCCCGGTTAGGGTTAACCGGACCCTGGGTAGGCGGCGCTTGTCTTGCAACATTTCATCCAAACCCCTGGGGACCGTAGGCATAGGAGGGTCTTGTGCAACCTCTCACCAAATGTCCATATTGTCCACAACCATGACATGGCCCCAGAGTCTGTGAAGGTCTGCGGTTATAATTAAAATTATAATTATCATTATAATTATCATTACCATATAATTATAATTATCATTATAATTATCATAACCATGCCTTCTACCCCAGTTTCCACGTCCACGTCTACGTACGCCCTAGGATTCTCCTGGTCCTTCAGCGGTTTAATAAGAATACTGTCTGGATGGATATTAGTTGGAAACATGGCTCTCAAAGCTCCCCAGACCCTGGCCCTGTAGGCTAGAAAAAGCTCTGCATCATAGACAGTTGTACCCACATGTCGGTGTAAGCCTGCTCTTTGCCACAGTTCCTCCATAGTAGGAACTCCAAGGATGTTTGCTAAGAGACGCTTGATGTCCCCCAAGGCTGGCTGTGTTCCTGTTAACACCTCTTCAAGTTTTGCAATCCAAGGTTGTGCACCATCTTGTAGAAGTGGCAATTTTTCCAAAATGTCTGACAAATCAGAATGAAGCCATGGTTTATAGTCAAGATCCTGACCTCTGACTAACACAGGAGCCATTTTCTTTGCTTTTCTTTCTCTGAGATGGTATCGACTTTTTCCACTTTGCATCTTTTGTTCTTCAAATTCTTTTTCTTTAATCTTCAGGTGTTGCAACTGCTCAGATAAATATTGTTTTTGCTCTTCATCTTTAGCATTCTTCATTTCTGCACGACAATCACTTTTTATTTTTCTCAGCTCTTTTAAAGCCTTGTTTAGATCTCCAACTTTAACATACTTGCCATCGAAGTCCTCCATTTCCAGTTCATCATCACTGCTGTCAGGACCTCCTTCACTTGAACTGCTTGAGTCTTCACATTTCTTGAAACTTCTTTTACCTCGTGCCTCAAGTTTCCCCAACAT